AATACAATTAAATTATCTAGATAAGCTTTGTGTGATGTATATTGCCTTTATCCATCTATGTTTATCACTTTGTCCATCAATGTTTGGAAGGTAATAGGAGACTTGAAATCTGAGATGAAATCTGAGATCCTTGTACACATCCTTTCAGATTGATAGGATCCCATGGAGCAGATGAAAGTTTTCTTTGCCTTCTTTCACCATCAGGTTTTGATGATAAATAAGTCAAATATGTGTCATAATGGGCTCATTCTATAAATACTTGTTTGGAACTTGTTTTTTCTTCTTCTTTTTAATCTTTACCTGAGGATATGTTTTTTATTGATTTGAGAGAGAGAGAGAGAGAGAGAGAGAGAGAGACAGAGAGAGAGAGACCCGTTCACGTCTCGATCGGGATTGAACCTGCAACCTAGGTATGTGCCCTGACTGGGAATTGAATCCGCAACCTTTTGGTGTACAGGGCGACACTGCACCACCCCGTCAGGGCTACTAGGAAGATTCTTAAGTCCTTTGCCTTCCTTTTCTATGTCTCTCCAGTTGTGCCCACTCCCCCCCCAAGTTCAGCTCCATTCTGCTGGTCATCTTTGTATTCAAATCTTGGTACACCTGTTTCTGGGAGTTACACCAACAAGATAAACAGCTAACTCTTGATATGGGTCTTCTTTCATTTGTGCTATTAATGTATTAAAATACCACTAGCGGTGAGGATGGGAAGCAATAGTATAGGTAAGTGAAATACAGCACAGAGCCCTAGGCAGCCCAGGGGATGATGATAAGGCTTGCTTATCTACAGGGATTGTTGAGAGAATTAAATGAGAGCTGTAGTAATTCTTTTTAATTTTTCATTACCATAATGCTTTATGAGCATTTACATAAAGTATTATCCCTTTATCAGATTATTTTATGGCCTTTTATCAATATTTGCTTATATTTTGAGGAGAATCTTTATCACACAAAATTATTAAAATATTTACACTTGTAGGTGTTTACAGATACAAGGCTTGTGTGTGTGGGAAAATTATAAAGTATAAATACTTATATTTGATTTTTATTGAGAATACGAATACTTTGTTTGGGGCTTGCTGTTACTACCCATGGAGAGTTATTAAACAGCTATACCTGTGCTGTCCAATATGACAGTACTTATTCCACATGCTATAAAAAAAAGTGATATTAAAGTTAAAAAATAAATTTAGGTTCTCAGTTGCTCTATTTACATTTCAAAAGTGTATTAGTTTCATGTCGCTAGTGACTTTCATATTGGATGGATATCACATATAGAGGACATTTCCATCATAGCAGAACATTTTATTGGATAGTACTGAACTAGAGTGTATGAGAAAATTAAATAACCAAGTGTTTTTTTAAATAGGAAGCATTATCAAAAAGTCTGAGGAATTTGCTACTAAAATTACTTACCTTATTATGCTTCTGTAGTATCTGTAAATATTACAATGAATTTTGTAACTTAAGTTGCACATGTATTACCTTTCATATTTCTAAAATATGTTTATATTTTTATAAATAAACAATGTCAAATTTCAGTGTCTCTGTTTTTATTCCTAGTATCCTGATATTGTATTAGAAATTTCCATATGTTTTTGCAGTGTTTAAGGTTTGGTTCTATTTCTTTGCCACAGCCATATAACCTAAAATAAAACAATTAATTAATAGTGGTTATCTTCATTGTGAAAGGTATGATAGTGATTAACTTGTTTATTAGGAATAAGATATTTTAGAACAGTACACGTATATATCCCATCTTTTTAACTTTAGGTTTTTGAAAATTTTGGACAAGAAGCTTTATATTGCACCTATTTATTATATAACTAGAGGCCAGGTTCACAGATTCATGCACCGGTGGGGTCCCTTGGCCTGGCCTGCGGGGATTGGGATGAAACTGGCTCTCCGACATCCCCCAAGGGGTCCCAGATTGCGAGAGGACACAGGCCAGGCTGAGGGACCACGCTGGTGCACGGTGTACGGAAGCTCCGGGCTTCTAGTGTGCATATAAGATCTTTGTTTAATCTCTTCCTGCCCTCCCTCTGCCCCCTTTCCCTCTGAGATTCATCAGTTTCCATGCCTGTGCATTGAGGGTCTGCCCCCTGGTGGTCTGTGTACATCATAGCTACCGGTCGAACAGTCACTTAGGCTTTTATACATGTAAGAGTATATCTACATATCATAAAGGTATATCTATAGATATACCCTTACATAAAGGTTTTATTGAGAGAATTGTTGTTAATGAAGGTTATAATTCTCTTTTATTAAAACATCATGATACTTCTTTTTTTATTCTAGGAAGCTTTACAAAGGATCATTTCAACTCTGGCAAATAAAAATGATGAAATTCAGAACTTTATTGATACACTAAATCAAACACTAAAAGGAGTTCAGGTATGAATTTCTTTTAAAAGTTTGTGTCAATATGTTATAATGAATGATTGTTGGATCGAATCAGAAGTATAAAAACACCCTATCAACTCTAGATTATAAACTAGTGGGGATGAGAGCAGGGTGTTTAATCATCAGATAAAAATATTTTCTTTGCTATTCTTGCATTCTCCATGGAATGATCAAGTAATAAGGGAAAAAGAAAACTCTGGAATTATAGTTCTAGGAATATTGTAGTGTTCACTTTCCATTTTATTTGTGTCTTTTCTATTTCTAACTAAGAGCAAATTGTATCTTTCAAAAGTACTGAGAAGCTAAACATTCTTTTACAGTAAATAATGGAAGGCAAATGTAGATAGAAAAAGGTCTCCTCATAAAGCCAGATGAATGTAAAACATAAAAGTAAAAGGTAAAGTGCCCAATGAAGAGGGAGAGGAATACTTAAGGAAATGGTCCCAGACTTGGGGAGATAATCTGTACTGTAAATAATCAAACTGCTGATGCCTCCCATGAATGTGTCTTAACGAATTTAAAGGACTTTTTTTTGTAAACAGTGAATCCTTTTTTATGGTTTTTGTTTGTTTTAACCTAGGTAATTGTCTGGTCCTTGCCCTGTTAGGCCTTATAGTCATTGTATTTCACTTACTGAGTTTACTGTAATTGAAGTCAGTCGACTTCACCACTTTAGCAGTCTTCCCTAAACTATTTTAATGGAAAATTTGATGAATTCACAAATCCACTTTTTTAAAGTAAGCAAAAGTGAAAGTTCTAAAACTCTTGATCTGTGGGTGAGAGAATCATTACATTCAACATCTGGACAAAGAGACCAAAAGATAGAACTAACCCAAAATATTTTTCTGATTGCCAGATTAATAGAACTATAACTTGGAATCCAGAAAAAAAATAGAGGGGTAATTAAACTAGACTGGTCACTGAAGATGGGTGCACACAAGGGAGTAAGTAAGCAAGACACTAGAAGAATGTGTCAGTTGGTTATTGAGGGGAGAAGAGTAGTCCAATTCCTTTCAGATGAGTAAACTGAGGTCCAGGAATTTACGTGGCTTGTCCAAGGTTGTATTATTATTGAGTGATAGATGTGGGATTTAAGTCTTCTGCCTTCTAGACTGCATATTTTTTCTCCCACAGTTTGTTTTTATCGTTGTAAATAAACTAGTAAAATGATTAACACCACTTTTGGTAAGACTCTGGTGTGATGATGTCTGGTTTTTATTAACATAAGCAAAAGTTTGGATTATGATATTACAATAGATTGTATTTATTAGTTCTCTGAGTGCCAATTTGCTTCTCTTAATTGAATGATTCATTTAAGTTGAAAAATGCCTTAAGATAATGTCTTCTGTCTCAATTTTTGCAAGTACTGTATACATATGGCTTATCTAGGGATTTCAGAGATATTTTAAATTATTTCTTGTTGAAATAATAGCATATTGCTTAATGAGGCAGTGAGAAGTCAATGGACTTGAAATGCTTTATTAATTCTGCCACTAGCAACTAGTGGCATAGCTTTGGGCAAGTCACTTATGTGTCGTTTATTTCATAAAATTTAGCAGTTTGACTACAAATTCTAGTCATAGATGATTTTTCAGGTTCTTCTAGCACTAAAATCCAATGGTTGACAAATCTTTTAGAATCTAGTAAGGAATTGCTTAGTCTTTAAGTTCTGTATATCTTTTATAAATACAGTATTTTAGACAGCCTGAAATATTTAAAAATTTACACAAAATCAGCCCCACCCCTGTATGTCCAAGAGTTATAGAATAAAAATCTCTGAAATGCTTTATTAAAATGCTTCACTAATGATTATGATGCACAGTAAAGGTTGAGAACTACTGACTTAGGGTCTGGCTTTGAGCCTGAAGGTCTGGATAAGTTGTCCACCTTAAAACAACCTTTCACATTGTCCTATGAAAACAGCATTATAAAAGGTGAGGAGAGTATGAGCTATTCCATAAAAGGCTGCTTAACTCATAGTACTGCTGAAATACATACTATCAGCATTAACAGCCAGCTTCTTCGATTTTTTTTATGTTTTTAAAGCGTTGTGTCAAATACTAGAATTCTGTTATTTTTATGATGTTAGGCTGAAACTCTCATAAAAATAACAGAATTCTAATATTTGACACAATGCTTTAAAAACACAAAAACACATATGATCTTATAATATGCATGTATTGTCTCTTGATAAATATATCTTAGTTTTTAATGTCTGACAGCTCTTCAGTAAAATAATTTTGTTTTGCTTATTAAATAGGAAAATTCTTCTAACATACTTTCAGAGCTAGATGAAGAATTTGATAGTTTATACTCTATATTGGATGAAGTGAAAGAAAGTATGATTAATAGTATCAAGCAGGAACAAGCTCGTAAATCACAAGAGTTACAGGTGAGATCATAAAACTATTTAAATATGAATAATTTTAATCTAATGCTTCATTTATTGAAAGCAAAAATTAGTGAATTCCTGTGTATAACTGTGCTTTTATCTTATAGAAGAATGATTCTTACCTTTTTTTGGTCATTAATATCTAATTTTTTAAAATTTATAATAAAAACCAATGTTGTGATTTATCCTCTTAACCATTTTAAAATGTACAGTTCAGTAGTGTTAACTATATTTGCATAGTTGTATAACAGATCTCTAGAACTTTTTCATATTGCAAACCGAAACTCTATACCCTTGGAACAACTTCCCATTTGCCCCTCCTTCCACTGCCTGGCAACCACTATTGTATTTTCTGTTTTCATTATCTTGAGTACTCTAGATACCTCCTGTAAGTGGAACCGTAAAGCATTTGCCCCTTTTGTGACCAGCTTATTTCACTCAGCATAATGTCCTCAAGTTTTGTCCATCTTTAGCATGTGCTAGGATTTCCTTCTTTTTTATGACTGGATAATACTTCAATGTATGTGTATCACACTTTTCTTTATTCATTCGTCCGTCTATGGATATTTGGGGTTCCTTCTACATATTGCTTATTGTGAATAATGCTGTAGTGAACATGGGTGTGCAAATATCTCTTAGAGATTTTGTTTTCAGTTCTTTTAGATATATACCCAGAAGTGGGATTGCTGGTTCATAGAGTAATTCTAATTTTAGTTTTTTAGGAACTTCCGTACTGTTTTCCATGCTGCTATAATATTACATTCCCACTAACAGTGCACAAGGGTTTTAATTTCTCCACAACCTTGCCAACACTTTCTACTTCCTACTTATATTGTTATTTTGAGATATAATTGACATATAATGTTATTTTAAAATGTACAACATAATGATTTGATATTTATATATTACTTAATCACCACAATAAATCTAAGTTGATATCCATCACCACATATAGTTACAAATTTTTTTCTTTTTTCTTTTTTTAAATATATTTTATTGATTTTTCACAGAGAGGAAGGGAGAGAGATAGAAAGTTAGAAACATCGATGAGAGAGAAACATCGATCAGCTGCCTCCTGCACACTCCCCACTGGGGATGTGCCCGCAACCCAGGCACATGCCCTTGACCGGAATCGAACCTGGGACTTTTTAGTCCGCAGGCTGACGCTCTATCCACTGAGCCAAACCGGTTTCGGCACAAATTTTTTTTCTTATGCTAAGAACTTTTAAGAGCTACTCTTACAGCAATTTTCAAATATATAACACACTATTATTAACTGTAGTCACCATGCTGTACATTACATCTCCTGAACTTATTTTATAACTCGAAGTTTGTATCTTTTGACCACCTTTACCCAGTACTTTTACTTTCTATTTTTTTTTGGTAGTGGCCATCTTAATGGATGTGAGGTGATATCTCATTGTAGTTTTGATTTGCATTTCTCTAGTGATTAGTGATGTTGAGCATCTTTTCCATTTATATATATTTTTTCAAGAAATACCTATTCAGATCTTTTGCACATTTTTTAATCTGGTTATTTGTGGGGGTTTTTGTTGTTGAATTGTAGTTCTTTACATATTCTGGATATTTCTCTCTTGTCAGGTATATGACTCACATTTATTTTCTCTCATTCCACGGGTTGCCTTTCACTCTATTGATTGGTTCCCTTAATGTGGAGAAGTTTTTAAGTTTGGTACAGTCTCATTTGTCTATTTTTGCTCATGATACTAGGTACAATGTATTAAGATCATGAAAATTAGTTAAAAATATGACGTGATTATCTTGCTTCAGTAACTCTCTACAATATTTTGTTCAGTTATTGCTATTAAAATTGTAAGTTCATTATAACAATACTACATATTTAAGATTCTGATAGCAATCAAAAATTTTATTTTAATGATTAATTTTTTTTTCTAGAGTCAGCTTAGTCAATGTAATAATGCCCTGGAGAACTCTGAAGAACTGCTAGAATTTGCAACACGGTCATTAGATATAAAGGAGGCTGAAGAATTTTCAAAGGTACAAAAAAAAAAATCAACCCAAAAATCTAAACTAAGCCACTTAAAAAGGAAAGTTTTGATTAAAAAAAATGGTATTTTCCCTTTTAACTTTGGACTTAGTCTAAAAAACATAAAGTCTAAAAGGAATATAAAGTCTAGTTTTGACTTCCTTTCTCTGAGCTGATTGGGAAACATCTTCACTTGATGCAGATGATCACTGCAACTTAGTGAGATCTTGATACTAAAGTTCTTACTAATGTTCCATCTTTTATCTTAAGAAATGGAATGTTTTATTAAAATATGAAAATGTAGGTTCCTTATTTAGGGGAATGTTTGGTATGAAAATGTGAACAGTAGAACAAAAAGACTGTTAATGTTTTAACCTAGGTCCTGGTGTTTAAGAGATTTTGAGTTCTAGTTTCTAATTTTTATTTTACATAGAATTGTTTTCCAATGATTACCAATTGATCAAATCTGTTATATTTTATATACAATAAGGGTGTAGAATATATTAAAAATGGTGTGAAAAGAGTGGGAATTACACTATTATAATTAGCAAAATATAGACTAGTAATCTTATCAAGCTAAAATATTTTAATTTGATGTTATTTTTCTTGGTCTTCATGCACAAACTGCATTAGTGTTAGAAAGGTGGCTTTATAATCAATTTGTGTCTACCTAATGTTTTCATTTTTATGATTTTTCTGTGAACTTGAAAGTAGAAACATCTTTCTTGAGAAGGTAACATTTGTTGGCTTATATTACTACATTTTGAAAATGAACTCTAAAAACTAATTTCTTTTAACAAAATTAATCAAGACAAAAGTTATTTTTCTATAAATTAGTAAGCTAATTAATTATTGAATTTGGAGGTGGGTTGTGAGGAAATTCATCTTTGCATTTGGTAGTACTTACTATTTAAAGCAATTATGAAGGAAATGTATCATACTTTAAGGTACTTAAAAAATATAGATATGTCACCTATTTAGAGAGTATGTATATATGATAACCTCAAATATCTAGAACATAGATAGCCAAATACATGCAAAAAGCAAAAGATGTCTGAGTCCTCAAGACCAGTGTCACGGAGTCATATCCTCTATTCAATAGCCTTAGAATCTGTGGGCTATTAATATGTACCTGGTGCTAAAATTTTTAGTTTTTTTCTTTCTGTTTCCTAGCTTTCAAGAGTTCCCTTATAGTGGCTGGAGCAGCTGTTAATGACAAGGCACAGTCATAGCAGTAGGAATTAATAGCTGAGAGCCTGAGAATGAGGAACAAGATGGGAAAACTATAAAATGTGTGCACAAATATTCAAAGATAACTTGCATTCAGTTGCATTTAAATAGGGATTGAAGCTTGAAAAACTCTGATAAAAGTTTTTTTTTTCCAAGTTTCTCTTTTCATTCACATTTGAGTCCTTCCCTGCCTTCCTCTCAAAGCCTATCATTCTCCCTTTCTCACTCCTTTTTCTTCTTTCCAGCTTTGTTAATTAAAACTTGTTCCCAGCTATTTGTAAATTAGAAAGGTTTTGATAAAATCACATTGTGGTTTAAATATATTCTTAATGTGCCAGTTGGCTTATCTTATAGTTTTGGTTTTGTCTTCCTGAATTTTACAGTATTGCTTAATAGCTTAAACCATTTAGAGATGTGGTGAAATAAATTGTCAGTGTTTTCTAGCCAGAAATCTAAGTTTCTTATTTTTAAAAAAAATGCTTAACTGAGAGTTGCTTGCAATTACTTTCTGAGTATATCCAAAGAGGATCCAGATAAAGGTTTGATTCCAAGTCAGAACCTAAGTTCACTTTCCTGGCCAGCTGCATGGATAATAGGCTTGCCCCAAACACCTAATTGCTGAAAGAAAAGGAAAAGATGACTTTGAAGATTAACTGTTGGACTAGCAGTATATTGCCAGATATTTGGAAAAAGAAGTTCTTCTAAGGTATACTGTTTACAAATGTCCCATATTAAACTGATTAAAACCAATTAATATGAATAGTTCATGGGGACAAAAAAAATCATAGGCTAAAATCCAAACCATTAATCTTTTTTAGACTTTGCTATCTTTAAAAAAAGAATTTTAAGTACTGATATTTAAATGATCACATTGTTGTAATTCAATATGAAAATTGAATATGAAGCTATGCTATTTATCAATAAAAATAGCACAAGTGGAAAAAGATTTTAGAACATTCACATTTATTTAGACTATTAGAAGTTTGGTTGACAATAAATATATGCAGAAAGATCACCAGCAAATGAGATCTGATCATTAACTTTATTTCTGGATGGATAAGTAGCCCAAACCCACCAAACCTGGGTTCTCTGTTAATAGCTGGCCTGCACAACACTGCTTGGACCCTTTGCCAAAATTAATATCCCTATCTTTCCCTCCCCCCTGAATCTATAACTTGAATTCTACTTATGAAGAGCTGAGTCTGTGGGACAATTTCCAAGTCAATATAACTAAACAGCCATTTTATCACAATCTTGCCACATGTAACCCACTTCTTAGACTGGAAAGAATGGAATGGTTACCTGTCCAGGTGCCTAAAATGAAATGAAATGTACAGATTAAGGCAAAAAGGAAATAATATCTTCTACATTTGATCACAGATGAAAAAGGAGAATGGGTTTTGTGTAATTCCCACTTCTGACGCACAATCATTGGAATATTGTTCAGTGAGTGTCAGGCTCTGACCACTGGGAGGAGCAAATAAGGAGAGGGATGGAAGCTCCCTCAGTATTTCCAAGGGACCAGAAGCTGCTTCTGTGGGCCAACCTAAATATTTGTTAAGAATAGCGCAAGCTACAATTTTTCCCCTCTACTTGAGTGTTTATGTTCTATAAAAATGTAGTCTGTTATATAAATGTCCTTAGTCATTGAACAGATGTGAGCAGTACTATATTCAAAGTTTATTTCAAGTTATTTACTATGACTTTGTGAATGTGTTTTTTAAAAATAGTTCTTTTTATAAACATTTATATTGAAATTATAAAGCTTCTGACGTATGGAAGCAACTGGTATGCAGTGTTATTTTCTTTTAAAGTTGGTATTTTTGCCTAAGGAAAAATAGCATTTTGAAACTACCTCTTTTCACTCTCTGTAACTGAGTCTCCTTCATTTCCCAAATTATTTTCTTAATATGGTATTTTGGGGGTGAGAATAGACGTCTCAATTATATATTATAAAAAAGTATTGAAAAAGTATTAAATATTTGCCCCTTGTACATTTTCAGATTGTCTCAAGGAAATATTACGAAATTATCTGTCCCAAATCTAGTAGGAAATTGTGAAGTATAAAAAAATGGGAACATGTAGATAAGACTGGAAACGTTTCTCAGTGTTGTGTGGCATTCAGATTTTACTAGGAATTCTATTGGGATTTACTGCAAATCAAAATAAGGATAAATCCTCTTAGGCAAATACCAGTTTTGACATCTAGCTTTAGCTAGATTCATCCTTTTGACAGGATTAATATATTTTTCTCTCAGCAATTATAATTCAGAAATAGATATATTCTTATTTTGGTTCCTGATTATCGGTGCTCTCTGATTTTTTAAAAAATTTTCTTTAGTGTTCTCTGATTTTTTAAAAAAAATATATTTTATTGAGTTTTTACAGAGAGGAAAGGAGAGAGATAGTTAGAAACATCGATGAGAGAGAAACATCGATCAGCTGCCTCCTGCACACTCCCCACTGGGGATGTGCCCGCAACCAAGGTACATGCCCCTGACCGGAATCGAACCTGGGACCTTTCAGTCCGCAGGCCAACGCTCTATCCACTGAGCCAAACCGGGTTCGGCAAGTGTTCTCTGATTTTAACTAACTCTTTGCCGCCTCTTTTCCATTTCAGCCCATATTTCAGAAAATTCTGTTGTTAGAATGCTTAATTTATTTTGGATAATTTTTAAATGTTATCTACATATAAGATGGCTTAGGATGGACTTTCAGGGTGGGAAGATATCTTAGTGCTCATCATTTTATATATGAGATAAATGAGTCCTAATAGAGTTAAGTAACTTGCTAGTTAATGTGATGGGCTGAAACTCAGATCTCTTAAACTTTGGTCATTGCTTCTTATTTTTTGCTGATGAGTTAAAACAATCTCTGCTGATTGGGAAGAAATTTGGAAATCTCAAATTTTTTTCTGTTTGGGAAAATGATTCATTGAGTACAATAAGCAAGGTCTAAAACTTCTTTTAACTGTGTTTAGAATATACTATTCAATTTAGCAGCTCCATAAATAGAATTATTTTAGAGTACTTTGCTTCTAACATCTATCTATCGATATAAAAGCATAAGTGACCTTTACGACTGGTCACTGTGATGTGCACTGACCACCAGGGGGCAGGCGCTCAACACAGGAGCTGCCCCCTGGTGGTCAGTGTGCTCCCACAGCCAACCTCCCCCAATCCCTCCCCCTGGACTGGGCAAAAACAGCCCCCAATCGCAGCCAGGCCTAGGGACCCCCCCACCCATGCACCAGGCCTCTATTCTATATAGTAAAAAGGTAATATGCCTCCCAGCACCGGGATCAGCGAGACAGGGGGCAGCGCCCCAACCCCCTGATCGGCCCTGCTCTGTGGGTGATAGAAGGCGACGCCCCAACCCCCTGATCGGCCCTGCTCTGTGGGTGATAGAAGGCGACGCCCCAACCCCCTGATCGGCCCTGCTCTGTGGGTGATAGAAGGCGACGCCCCAACCCCCTGATCGGCCCTGCTCTGTGGGTGATAGAAGGCGACGCCCCAACCCCCTGATCGGCCCTGCTCTGTGGGTGATAGAAGGCGACGCCCCAACCCCCTGATCGGCCCTGCTCTGTGGGTGATAGAAGGCGACGCCCCAACCCCCTGATCGGCCCTGCTCTGTGGGTGATAGAAGGCGACGCCCCAACCCCCTGATCGGCCCTGCTCTGTGGGTGATAGAAGGCGACGCCCCAACCCCCTGATCGGCCCTGCTCTGTGGGTGATAGAAGGCGACGCCCCAACCCCCTGATCGGCCCTGCTCTGTGGGTGATAGAAGGCGACGCCCCAACCCCCTGATCGGCCCTGCTCTGTGGGTGATAGAAGGCGACGCCCCAACCCCCTGATCGGCCCTGCTCTGTGGGTGATAGAAGGCGACGCCCCAACCCCCTGATCGGCCCTGCTCTGTGGGTGATAGAAGGCGACGCCCCAACCCCCTGATCGGCCCTGCTCTGTGGGTGATAGAAGGCGACGCCCCAACCCCCTGATCGGCCCTGCTCTGTGGGTGATAGAAGGCGACGCCCCAACCCCCTGATCGGCCCTGCTCTGTGGGTGATAGAAGGCGACGCCCCAACCCCCTGATCGGCCCTGCTCTGTGGGTGATAGAAGGCGACGCCCCAACCCCCTGATCGGCCCTGCTCTGTGGGTGATAGAAGGCGACGCCCCAACCCCCTGATCGGCCCTGCTCTGTGGGTGATAGAAGGCGACGCCCCAACCCCCTGATCGGCCCTGCTCTGTGGGTGATAGAAGGCGACGCCCCAACCCCCTGATCGGCCCTGCTCTGTGGGTGATAGAAGGCGACGCCCCAACCCCCTGATCGGCCCTGCTCTGTGGGTGATAGAAGGCGACGCCCCAACCCCCTGATCGGCCCTGCTCTGTGGGTGATAGAAGGCGACGCCCCAACCCCCTGATCGGCCCTGCTCTGAGCCTGACCAGGGGCTGCCCCTGCCGGGAGCCGGTCCATCCTTGCTGTTTCAAGGGACCTGGCATATATGGCATACTGTTCTTAATATGTTTGCTCACCTTCTTGGCACTATGTGTTTTAACCAAGGTCACCTCTCCAAGAAAGGTTGTTTCCCCAGGTAGGGAGCTTCCCCTGAAGTTAGGGAGGCAATAAAACCTCTTAACTAAGTGCCAGGCGGGTAATTAATCACTTTAACTACGAACAATCACCCTTAGGCTACATAATCTTTACTCCCTGGAATGGAGATAAGAAACGCCCTAACCTTTGGAATAGAGATTGATAGGATTGGAATCAACTGGTATAAATACAGATGTAACAAGACAACAGGACACAGAACTTAGATGAAGATCCTAGAGACAGACTTAGTAGCCAGAACTTAAAAGACAGAACCTACACAGAACCTAGAGACAGAAGAACTTCGCTGGAGAGAACATGGCAAAAGATCCTGGAGAATGTGGCTGGAGAACCTAGCAAGAGAACATGGACACAGAACTTGGCTGGAGATTGTGGCTAGAGATCCTGGCAAGGCTGCTGATCAACTGAACGCTGTCTCCGTGTCATTCCTTCTTCGCCGACTCCGTCAACACCTTTGGGGACCCCTGGACCTGCTGGGGTTGGACCCCAGCATGCACCTAGGGATTGGGCCTGCCCTCTGCCACCCGGGAGCAGGCCTAAGCCAGCAGGTCATTATCTCCTGAGGGGTCCCAGACTGCGAGAGGGCACAGGCCGGGCTGAGGGACCCCCCCACCCCATTCCCCCCCCCGGGCACAAATTTTTGTGCACCGGGCCTCTAGTCTTTCTATAAAAGGAGAAAAATGAGGGTTTAAGAAAGAATATAGAAACAATAAGATCTTAACTTTCAAAGGGCTGGATAAAGTCATGGAAGAAAATAGTTTCTATATCCACTAATTGCAGATTAAAACTGAGAGATTTGGAAAAGATCTGGTTTGTCTTTATATTTAATTTGTAATTATGAAGAACCATTTGTGATTAGTACTACATTGTACTCTTTTTTTTTAAACCTTTTTTTAAAAATATGTTTTATTGATTTTTTACAGAGAGAAAGGGAGAGAGATAGTTAGAAACATCGATGAGAGAGAAACATCGATCAGCTGCCTCCTGCACATCTACTGGGGATGTGCCTGCAACCAAGGTACATGCCCTTGACCGGAATCGAACCTGGGACCCTTCAGTCTGCAGGCCGACGCTCTATCCACTGAGCCAAACCGGTTTCGGCTACATTGTACTCTTATTACAATTCTTTTTAGGGTCTTAGGTGACAGATTTCTATTACTGATAAAAATAAAGATCAGAACTATAAGATTTTAAAAACAATTAATGGAGAGTTGGTGGAAGGGAAAGACAAAAAGGAGTCATGTCTGATACGAACAGAGGGAAATGAAGTGTTGGCAAACAATATTTCATTAGAAGATTGAAATTGAAATAGGAAATAGTCATGTTGAGCAAGGTAATATGACTAATACTTCTGGAAGGCTTCCAGTAATATACAGTATCATAACCTAAAATTCTAAGTATTCACTGAGGCTTCTTCATAGCTCACTAAATGGAATTTTGTAGTTGCCAATAAATGTACTTAGTAAGCAGAGATGTTTAAGTGACAAAATGCATAACAGTTGAAATTGAAACTTAGAGGAATCAAGCAACATTGCAGTGTGTATCTTTTAGACAGTTTTCTGCTTTGGGAGAAGAAATTCCAGAAAAAAAATTAACCTGTTCTCCAATTCAAGACATTTTTTTGAAATTGGGCCTTATTAGAGAAATAATTTCAGAATTTGAGACTTTCTACTCTTTATCATTGTACAGAATAACTTTTCAATCTTCCAGCATTTACACAGTGAATGTACTGTAAAATTTGAACCTAAATAAAAGAAGAAGCACTGAGTCTCCAGCTTTACCAAATGGGTATAAATCAGCAGTTTTACCAACATTTTTTCCTAAATTACCTGGCTTTTTATCTGTTCATTTCTGGTTTGTCACTAACAGCCAAGTACATTAAATAACATGAAAGCTTTATATGCGTGTGTACATGTGTACACTTGCACACACTAAAAATGGCACCTTAGTAAATTAAGTAACACTAGAAACAAAATTGAATAATTATGGTCAGTATAAAAAACTGTGATAGTCTTTATATTGTTGGGTTATTTGAGAGTGACTGGTTAGTAATCCTTTAACCAAGTTCTAAACCATTTGGAAAATAAGAAAAAACAATAAAGCTGATAAGAGGCCAAATATTGTTAAAATGGTATTGGAGAATTTGGCTTATATCAATGGGCAAACTTTCCTAATTGTAGAAATAGGTTTACCCACGTAGGTATGGTCAGTATGGGGGCTACCTCACGTGTCTGTGGGGGTAGCCTGTTTCAGTGAAACTGACTGCATCAAGGGAAAGAACAGAGTATGTATATGTTCTCTTTGGGCAAGCAAGCTGCCAGAAAAAGGGAAAGGTGCTGAGCTACTTAGATCTGGTGTCTCCTTTCAAAGCCAGTCAGTCAGATTGGGGTCATTGCACCTCCCCAGGAGAAATGAGGGAACAGAGAGGGTAAGGGATAATGCCAGTGGAGCTTCTCTATATGTGAAGAAACATCAACTACAGAGAAAAGTCTTAACTCTTTGGGGGAATTTTTGCCATTAGAACTTAACTCCAGTCAGTGCAGATTGCTTGACATTTATATTAACTTGACATTTATATTAAAAGCTTTGGTTTGTAACGCTAGCTTTAATGACGACACTTAAAAACGCACACACAAAAAAACCCAATGTAATTGACCATAACATTTCTTATTCTAGTAACAAAATAGTGTCATGATTTAAGGAACATATTATAGATGTCATAGCATTGGGATGTCTGCTGCAGAATGTGGAGCTTAAAAAGGGTCTTTAGAAACAGTAAGGACCCAAATCCCTTTATAAAGAAAGAAATAGAATGATTAGTATACAGGGTCACAGGATTGATTACGATAGTCCTGGAACTGCATCATACGCTGATCTAAATTGCAGTTTTGTTCTTTTGTGTAGAAAGGTTCTCATACCAGAATGTTCTAGGATGGGTTTAAAAATGACTGTTAGTGTGAACAATGTTAAAACTGAAGATGAGGGGCAACAGAAGCTTTGTTACACATATTTAATGTTCATTTACATTTAATAATTATTAAGTATTACTGTGTGCTAAGCTTTATGCTAGAGACGGGGATGGAGTGTCAAGTAAAATATGATCTTCAATGGATATATCATTAAACACTCTGGTCAATATGGAAAAAAAAGGGTGTTGGATATATTGCATGTGAATGTAGAGGGGATAACAGTTTTTACTTGTATTTTTCTGGGACTGTCACCAAATAATAGCTGTGCCCCCTTCCTAAACTTATGCTAACATTCTAAAAAAAATTAGAAAAGAAGGAAGGAAGGAAGGGAGGGAGGGAGGGAGAAAGGGACAGAGAGAGAGAGAGAGAGAAGAAAAGAAAAGAGATCTTAATGTAGAATAGGTTTAAGTTTAAGTTGGCAACTTCTATGAAGTCATCTGAGGGAAAGACCCCATTGCTCCAAGTATTTTTCCTCTGAATTTTTGCCATTAGAACTTAACTCTTTGGGGGGCAAAGGAATGTAGAACTGCAGGCTAGTTTTATATGTTAGCAGGCAAGCTCTCAGAATACAGTCTTTGCCCAGTGAAGGCATAGAGAGAAAACTTGGAACAATGATTATGAAGTGGTGAAAGAGATCTCTGAAGAAAAATTGGAGAGCAGATTTGAAATATGTAAGAAAACCATCAGAATGCATAGAAATGGGTGCCCAGGAAGGAGAGTGGAGGTTCTAGTGGAAGAGTGACTGACTGAAAGTGGAGGTGTGTTATGATGATCTTAAGGTAAGAAAAAACATTTGTAGTCATCTGGTTTTAGTTGGGAGTGTTTGTTTTCCCTCCTTTTAAGGTAGTGTATATGGGGTCTAGATTTTCTACTGTAATTCTAACATCACATTATGCAAGCAGATGCAAACTGTACAGATTTTCTATAATTTATGTTTTGGTGAATATGAACTAATCTGTTCCAGGGTTTATATCCTAACTTTTCTTGCATGTCACTGCCATTGAAACTTGCATGAAAAGCACTAACTGCCTTCTTTCTCTCCTCCCTGATCTGCTCCAAGGCTGCCAGACAGATCAAGGATAGGTATGGAATAAAACCTACATTTTTATTTGTGTTGATACTGAAATCAGAAATGAAATTCAAGAACAGTTTCTTACTAGACTCTTAGTTAAAACAAAAATACCTAAAGGTCAAATACAAAAAAAAAATGTCTTCTGCATATTTTCAGTAATAAGCAATATGTTAGCAAGATTTTTTAAAAACATAGTTGTGGACAATTATGTACTTCCAAAAGAATTTCATTTCTGGTATAATATAGTTAGTTTTAGTACTAGTTTTACTACAATTCTTAATTGACTATGCTAATGGTGGGGAACCAATTTGAATAATAAAAAAAATATTCCTGGAATGCATTTTTTGTTCTTAAATTTTATATGTGTGTCTTATTTTCTGAGAAGTCACAGCATTTTAGATTGTCTTCAGGAGCTATAGCTCTCTCACTGCTCTCCTGGTTAACACCTTTGTATTCTCATTTCATCCTGTTCCTGGTGCCATCTCTTTCTCTTTCTAATGCCACTACTTCCAGTTTATGGGAAGAGAATATTAAAGAAAATAATGAAAGACTCTAGTTTATAAGGTCTCTCTCATTGGCAGAGTCAGGATTAAGAAAGGAAGCTGAATACTTCCTATAATGAATACACTAAAAGGCTAAAGGAGCTGCTGGCATTTTGGATGGAGTTACCGCAAGAGGGATGGCTCTGATCTGCCTGGCTAGTCACTGACCATTGACTCCAGTGAGGTGATCACTTAGGTTTCTTCATTGGAGGATTATGAGATTCTCTGAAAGGCACAGCTCTTCACATCCCCACTCTGAATCCTAGGTGAAATTATTCTTCATCAGATAATTTAAAAACTATTCATTGTAGGTTGTGTGAAAACCAGTGTCTCTGTTGTTAATCTTGGCTGAAGACTTTAATTCTGGGTTTCTCTCATGGCTGTTTATTTGACTAAGGCAAGATTCACATGACAGTCATAGCATTTTTAGCACAAATATTAATTTTTATATTTTTTGTAAATTTTGTATTGGGGATTGGTTAAAAACATGGATCATTGTTATAAATCCTAAATGTAGAAGGAGATTATGAGAGTTTAAGGTGAAAATATTGGTGTTTGAGGATTGGATGCTAGGTAGTGTTTTGGATAAGGTAGTTTTGGGTTGTGTTTGTTGGAATTCACTGTGAGCGATCCTTCTTCCCACCCTGGCTAGATTATTCTTCTATTTAGCCACCTATTCCACTAAATCGTGCTCTGGTCCCTGATTATCTGGGTTAGAAGTCACTGCCTAATCAGGCTTTGGGCTGTCCAAAGACTTTGTGAGAGACCTTGCAATATCCTCCCTTGTTCTTCACCTAGGAATCTCTATGGTTTTATGCTTCCTGGAATTCTGTCCTTACCCCTGACCATCCAGATTTGTTTGTCAGAATTTAATGTTATGATCAGTGTTCACAGCTGAATATATTCTTCAGTGAAACTTGATCTCTTTTCCTCTTCTTCTAAGCCAACTTGTTGGCTTGATTTCATCAGTATCCAAGGGATCTCAGAAGTCAGAGTTTCTTTTTTTGGCCAGAGCAAACTCCGTTTATTTGTTTGTTTTGTTTTGCTTTTCAGAGCCTATAATGTTTTTTTAGGCTGCCCACAAAATATTTACTTCTTACCTAAGGAACATTTCTGGGTTTGGGTTTAATTTTTTAAGCTTGATTTTTAGTTTCATAATGTCCAGTTTCTCTGATACAGTTTTTAGGTGCTTCTAGGAAGCAAGCTTCTAGAATTCCATTATTGCTGTTCATAATATGAAAACAGAGAGTCATAATAAAATAATTATTTTTATTAAGTGAAGAAAGGATTATCCCCTTATATGAGGTTGAAAGTGGTATTTTAAGGAAGAGTGTGTAACATAATCTGAGCAAGGAATCAAATATATGAAAATGAAAGTATCTGTGAGAACTCAGTATTTATCATTTGGTGTGACAGAAGTTGTAGAATAATGGAGTGACAGGAAACACTAAAGACAGAAGTGAGAAGACGATAAATAGCAGATCTCTTTACAGAGCACTGGTATACACGTCTGGGTGCTTAGTAATGTTGGAAGATGATTCGTTGAGGTATATTGCGGGAGTTACTGGTTTTGAAGGAAAGGGGTCATGAAAGGAAGAGTTGTTAATTAGGTAGGTAGTTTGAGGAAATTAAAAGTGTCCATCTGTATGTTTTGCAGTTATTTTTTAAAAAATATATTTTATTGATTTTTTACAGAGAGGAAGGGAGAGGGATAGAGAGTTAGAAACATCGATGAGAGAGAAACATCGATCAGCTGCCTCCTGCACATCTCCTACTGGGGATGTGCCCGCAACCCAGGTACATGCCCTTGACTGGAATTGAACCCGGGACCTTTCAGTCCGCAAGCCGACGCTCTATCCACTGAGCTAAACCGGTTTCAGCTGCAGTTATTTTATTTTTGCAAAAATAAAATGGAGAAGTGTGAGCCTTGTATTCAGCTTTACTATTAGAAATAAATCAAGAAAGTCAGGGTGAATAAAAACATTTGTAATGACATAGATCCTGTAATATAATTATCTATGGATTTCACATTATTAGTTGGGGCTTTGAGGCACAATTGTTTAAATGTATTCAGTTTAAAAATAAAATGTTCAGTCTTTTGAAAGATTATAGCATTGTTGTACATCTAACTTGATTTATGGAGACTGAAATTTTCATTGACTAGAAAATGAAGGTAATTATTCTTGTTTTTTTAGGCTTTGATAGACCTTTCTATTGGTTTTTGGGAGAACATTCTTTTTCTTTGAGGCCTTAGTGATTAAGTCAAGTTTTGCAGGTAAAGTTTCAGAATTAAATTTCCTAAAATACTTTCAGATATTTTTTTCTCTAAAGTTCAAAAAATGCATTTTAATCAGGTTTAGAAGCAACTAAGTAGGTTCAAACCCATTCATTGATTCTGTGGGCATTTACTAAGTACCTAGCTGAATATAGCTCTCTTAGAGTCTTCAAATCAAAAGATACTTCAGGCTGTAAAGAACAAAGTATGTAAGACTTAGCCTTTGTTCTTAACTCCTTATTGATGTCATCTGAAATTTTATTATTGAGAACCAGCTGCTTAAAGTAGTATGTAAGAAACTCAGTGTTATGACTGGAGTTCAGTAAGTGTGAATTCCCTTCTCCATAAATTGTATTTAAGTATAACACTTTTTTCTTGATAAATAGATCAGTTAACTTTGTTTCTAAATAAAGTGATTACTTTCCTAGTTTTAAAAATAACTGGATACAGCAACAGTTAGACATTTTTCATCCTAAAATGACTGACTACAGCAACAAGTTTGGTATCTTTTAAATCATTGATTTGTAGAGTAGATTTGGCAGATCTGAATGACTAGGCATGCTATTCTCTTTGTTCCTCCAGCTCTATTCCTCTCCCAATTGTGTACTAGGAGGACAACACTCATGAATATTAACTTTTGTATTATTCTTTGACAAAAGATACTATGTGATACTTGTGGAAATTTATTGTAATATTAAAAACTGAAATTTGAAACAAAATGACAAATTAATAGAATATAATTTTTTAAATATAGTTTTTAATATATATTTTAAAAATATATTTTTATTGATTTCAGAGAGGAATGGAGAGGGGGAGAGAGAAACATCCATGATGAGAGAGAATCATTGATCGGCTGCCTCCTGCACACCCCACACTGGGGATCAAGCCCACAACCTGGGCATGGGACTGGGAATAGAACTGTGAACTCCTGGTTCATAGGTCAACGCTCAACCACTGAGCTACGCCGGCCAGGCCAGAACATGATAATTTCTTTTCTTCCCAGTGTTAATTGACAGAACAGGTTTCCCATACTGTGGATTAAATGAGGTCTGGTATGGCTTCTTTCTTTTTTTGTTTTTGTTTTTTTTATACCACATTCATCTAATATTTCTTGAACTCCTGCTATTTCTATGTGTGGTTTCACAGCGGTGTTTCTCCTATATCCTTCCATGTAGCTGATGTTGACAATCAGAGTGACACCTACTAGTGATTTCACTTCTCTCCTTTCTCATCTATGGCCTGTCCTTAGCCACTACCAAGCTATCCAGTATTTGGTCAATGTACCTCTACTCTTATTTGAGGACACATGGAGTAGCTGTTACTACTAGGGAGAATGTTTGAATCAGGGTATATGTACAGATCATCATTTGGCATATGAAAAGAAGTGAGGCTGGCATCAGGAAGTCGGTAAGCTTGAGTGTACAGAGATTTAGATGGCTGTTGGGTCTGTTAAAGATGATTTATACTGAATACTTGTCTCTTGTGATACTTGTATTTGAATGCAGTTTTATAAAACTGGCTGGTGGAAAGTGTCTTTAAATTTAAAAACACTACAGTTTTTTATTTAGTTAATTTTCAAAAACTAAGCAAATTTCTATTTAGTTGGGTTATCTTTGTCAAAATTTCTGAAATCACTAGAGTGAAATCATTTCTATCTTTTCATTTTATAAATTAAATATATGATACTTCCCATTCTTTTATTTTTAAAAGTATGTTTGTATTTGCTGCAGAGTAACAATGGCTTCAGCCTTTCGCCTTTCTTTGAAACCAAAGGTCAGTGACAACATGACTCATTTAATGGTGGATTTTTCTCAGGAAAGACAGATGTTGCAGACTTTGAAGTTTTTGCCAGGTGAGTAAGCATACATATTACATGTAAATGCTATATAATAAAAGCCTAATATGCAAATCAACCGAACAGTGGAACAACCATTTGTTGTGGTGTGCACTGACCACCAGAGGGCAGATGCTCAATGCAGGAACTGCCCCCTAATGGTCAGTGCACTCCCACAGGAGGAGCGCCGCTCAGCCAGAGTCTGGGCTTACAGCTGGCGAGTGCAGCGGTGGTGGTGGGAGCCTCTCCCACCTCCGCTGCAGGCAGGCCGTAAGGAGCGAGGCGTACTAGACTGCAAGAGCCCCAGACTGCGAAAGGGATGTCTGACTGCCGGCTGGGGGGATCGGGCCTAAGCTGGCAGGCAGAAATCCCCCAAAGGGTCACGGACTGCAAGAGGGTGCAGGCTGGGCTGAGGGACCCCCTGCCCCCAGTGCACAAATCTCATGCACTGGGCCTCTAGTTTATATATAAAAAATATATTTTCTGCAAGATGTTTCTGTATAAAATTGGAATGTAAATATTAAAGAAATATAGCATAAGTTTTTTCATTCTAGGAATAATTAAATTTACTAGACTTCATTTTTAGAGAATTATTTTACTGGTAGTTAAAATTCCATTTTTAAGAATCTCATTAAGGGATATATTTTATTGTTAGTTTGACACAGCAGTACACCACAATGTAATACACTGGATCCTGCACACAGACTTCTTAGATTTTAATCCTGGCTGCTACTTACTTGCTATAATCTCTTGCTAATTCCAGGAAATTTTTCATTGATTCTTTGGGTTTTCTCCATAGATAATCATGTCATCAGCAAACAAACACAGTTATATTTCTTCCTCCGTAATCTATATACCTTTTATTTCCTTTTCTTGTCTTACTGCATTTACTAAAACTTTCAGTACACTGTTGGATAGCAGTGTCACTAAAACTTTTTTCAGTGACAAAATGTTTAAATATAATACCTGCACAGTTTCACACATTTCAGACACATTCATATCAGTGGAGGATCACATTCTCCAATTCGCTTGTTGATATGTAAATGAAACATCTGTTAATGTTGAGGATCTATGGAAAAATCTCTTTTATGGAAAAGAAGTTGATTAATGTTCATACATGTTAATTGTGGCTTATTTATCCCTATTTATTTTGATGATTCAGAAAACTCTGAAAAACACTTTAAAGTTCATAAGTATTTGGGGATTGAGGAGTTCATTTTTGTTTAGTGTGAGGAATTACAATTATTTTATAAACAAAGATTTTTAAAATACATTGAAAATATTTTGAATTATTTTAATTATTGGAGTTAAAGCAAGTTATTTTCTCAATAGTGATTTAATTTATAGCCTACAGCTGTTTGAAATAGATTACAAGTACATGTTGAGAAGTAACAAGTAATTCTTGATTCTTTATTCTTAGCATGTTTGAATTGCTTTTTGCCAACTAGGATTTAATAAACTTTGAATAAGTCTATGAAAAAACTTTTAAACATGAATTTTTAAAAAGAGCTTTGAAAAATATATTGTATTTATAGGATATCTCTTCTCTTAGCCTGATTCAATTGAATAGTTCAAAAGCAACATGAAAACCATAGTTTGAATGACAGACATAAATATTGGATTAGTACTAGAATAAATTAGCCTTTTTCTTTTTTCTTCAGTTCCCAAAGCTCCAGAGATAGATCCAGTAGAGTGTTTGGTGGCTGACAATGCTGTAACAGTAGCTTGGAGAATGCCAGAAGAAGATAATAAGATTGATCATTTTATACTGGAATATAGGAAAACTAATTTTGATGGACTTCCACGTGTAAAGGATGAGCGATGCTGGGACATAATTGATAATATTAAGGGTACCGAATATACACTGTCAGGTAAAATGACTGCATTTCATGAATCTTTCTCAGAAAATAAATGTAATTAAGAAAAATATTTTTAGTTACTTTAAAAGATAACGTTTCTTGCCGATTTTTTATGTATTCATTATAGAAGTGAATTTCTCTTCTATAATTTAAATTACTTCTGGATATTTGCAATCTGGTAAAACAGTGTATGTAGAACAAGCATGAAGGGATGTTCTGGAAACAATATTTCAGAATAACATTTAATTTTTACCTTGGTTTTCTATCATCCAAAAAACTGTCAACTTTCTAGATGTACACACAACCACAAATATTGTTGCCTTTAATCCTTTTAGGATTACCTTCACAGTAATACTTAGAGTAGAACTGTGACTTGGTATTAGAAATTTGTTTGTTAGCCTTTTCAAAGTCTTTAAAAAGGTATCTCCATATATAGGGGACCTTGGGTGTTTGAAATGACCTAATGTTGCCTGAGTTAGTAAATGCTTCTTATGGATGATCAATAACATTAGTAACTCTACCATTATTGAACACTGAACATTTGTCAGAAGCCAGGCTGAAATGTATTACATAGTACATCTCAAATAAACAGTATAATAACATCTCATTTACTATGTGGAATTATGAGGTTGGTTTTATTATTTCTGTTTTACGGATTCAAAACTGTAGCTCTGTTATGTTGAAAGTCCCACAGCTAGTAATTTTTAGACTATTTTAATCTAGACATGACTAACTTCAGAGTTTTGCTATTAATCCATATGCTTCATTTTTCTTTAAATTTACATTTCACAAAAAATGACAGTGTTGCCCTAACCGGTTTGGCTCAGTGGATAGAGCGTCAGCCTGCGGACTGAAGGGTCCCAGGTTCAATTCTGGTCAAGGGCATGTACCTTGGTTGCGGGCACATCCCCAGTAGGGGATATGCAGGAGGCAGCTGATCGATGTTTCTCTCTCATCGATGTTTTAACTCTCTATCCCTCTCCCTTCCTCTCTGTAAAAAAATCAATAAAATACATTTTTTAAAAATAACAGTGTTTCATAAATATAAAATTCCTTAGGGAGTTTACTTTCTAGAAATTGAATGTTATTTTAAATTCCAGCTTCTGTCCTTGAATGCAACATTACTTTTAATGAGGCTTGACAGAATCTCTTATCACTATGTTTTAAAAAATTTATTGATAAACTATATAACTTATTTATTTTGTAGAAAACAATAGATAAATTATTATTCCTCTGATTTCATGCATTACTACTGTTTTAACATAAATTTATAATCTTCCTGAGAAAAGAGAAAGTTCCACAAAGGGAATAATGTCTGTCTGAAGGTTCATACTCCTACTTTTAGAGTAGATTCCTTTACTTTTCATATCTGAAAACCATTTTCATTTTTTCAGGTTTAAGGTTTGATTCAAAGTATATGAATTTCAGAGTACGAGCTTGTAACAAAGCTGTGGCTGGAGAGTGTTCTGACCCAGTGACTCTGGAGACCAAAGGTAAGGTCAGTAGCTATGTATGCAGCATCTGGATTTATCTGAGGCATGGTTCTATCCCTCCTCCCCTGACCCGGAATTCCCAACAATAGGAATTTTAAGATGGAGAAATTAGGACTGGTTTCATTAGTTTTTACTTTATCATGGTATTCAGATAGGTAAAATAGACTGAGATGATAGTGTTATATTCTCAGGTGGGTGCTTAGTTTACAAATTTCCGTTTAGTATAAATACATAAACATCATTGAGATGTGTCCAGTGTTTTCTCACTGTTGGAGCCAGTCTTTTTAAAAAACAAACAACTATACAGTATTAATCCCTTTTATCTTAGCCTCTATGACTCAGTTGAGGTCCCATAAAAGGAATAGCGTGTGGGTGTGTGGGGTGGGGCGGGGGTTATACCCCTGGGATTGAAACCCATGTCTTTTCATTTGGATGCTGTGGTATTTGGTAAGTCTGGTCTCTCTGGTGACTTGGAGGTGATACCTTTTCTGCCACTATTTACTCTATCTCCATCATATGACACATGAGAGAACTGCCTGAGGATTTTTTACTTTCTTTTTTTAAATTATTTTTTTAAAACCAGCCTTCCATTTTAACAAGTAACTGAGAATTGATAGCACCTTTGAGTTAGATCCACTTTTTCATTCTCTCAAAAATGTGCCGAAACCGGTTTGGCTCAGCGGATTGAGCGTAGGCCTGCGGACTGAAGGGTCCCAGGTTCAATTCCAGTCAGGGCATGTACCTGGGTTGCGGGCACATCCCCAGTGGGAGATGTGCAGGAGGTAGCTGATCGATGTATCTCTCTTCATCAATGTTTCTAACTCTCTATCTCTCTCCCTTCCTCTCTGTAAAAA